ATTCAGAATTACTTCCTTGCTTGTACTTAAGTGCTTGTAACTTTTCCCCTGTTTCTTGCCGGGTTCTTAATGTTTTGTCTTATTCATGCATTCATAATTCATTGGGGGAGTTGCTGGGGGTTACTCGGGGAGGATTTTGTGGCTTGACGATGTGATGGCAATTCCTGCCTCCAATCAATGAATTAACCTTCCACAACTCTACTGTTGATTAATCTAATCTCTGTCATTCACGTGGTGTCCATTTTATACTAATTTCTCTCTTTCAACTGAAATGGGATACATGAACAAAGACAGTAGAATCCAGAAAAACAAAGGGCATCTTCATGCCAAATATAGCATCACCTACCACTTAGATCCTGGTAAGTTTCAAGGCGATAATATCAAGAAATCAATTAATGAAAACAGGTATAACTAATTAAATCGAAATTATTTAATCTTCAATACCCCCACCATCGTTTTGATTCCTCTACGTTATAGGTTTGGTATCTGTCTATTATCTTCAAGCTACCCTCAAGGAAACATTGCCTTCATGTACTGGCATTGCCACTCTCAATTCCACATGAACCTGCGGAAGATTGTAGTGGAAATGGCTACATGGGTATCTTCTTCTGTCCTTTTGGTGAACAAGATTCGAATTATATCGAATTGTTGACAATCCAAATGGCTTTTCATTTTTTTTTTGTCTCTCCTCTTGATTGGGTATAAGAAAATTTTTGTAATTGAATCTGACTCTTTTGGTGGCAATATTTTGCAAGTGACCCCAATGAAAAGATTATAAAATAAAAATGCCTTCACAATTTAAGAGGAAATAATAGAATTTTTCACGAATTATCTCGTCAATTATCAACCATCGTTGTTTTTTTAATCCATTTTCATGGTCAACTACCCTATGCTAGTCCTGGTTTAAACCATCCTCCACAGCCCTATCCTAAGCTAATCCTAGTTTAAACTATCCTTTACAGCCCTGTCCTAAGCTAATCACAGTTTCAACCATCCTCTCAGACTCTTGAGGAGGTAAATTAGAAGATATCCTAATTTGATCACCAGATGAGCCTATCCTATCCTCCGCACAGCTCTCTCACCTCTCAAACCAGGCCAAGATCAATCCACATTTTTTTATTAGTCCTACCGGATTTGTTAAAAATTTGGTTTCAGTTCCAGATTATAGTTCTCATTTACTAAGTTTTCCACGATTTTACCAAATATATTCAATGAATTCTCTTTAGGTATTTATTATTTTTAATTATATTTACTGCGCCATCATGCCCTATATTGCTATGCTGATGGGAAATCCAAATGCTATAAACACAAGTCCCTTAACCTCCATTGCTCATAGCTCGTGAAAGTGGGAAACTAGCTAGCGATGGATATTTTTCATTCATTCCCAGCAACTTCAACGATTGCAATGCTTACTTTCTCATTCATACTATTTCTTTTCTCTCTTCTATGGTTTTCAAATACTGCATCAAGCAACACAAACAAAAAGAGAACGGCACCAGAAGCCAGTGGCGCATGGCCTATAATAGGCCATCTCCGCCTCCTGGGAGTGCCACGACCACCTTACATAACCTTGGCCAACATGGAGGACAAATTTGGAACATTCTTCGCTATCAAGTTGGGTGCATAGAGCTTTGGTGGTGGGTAATTGGGAGATTGCCAAACAATGTCTCACCACAAACGACAAAGCCTTATGCCACTCGTCCAAAGCCTGCCTCCATGGAAATTTTGGGCTACAACAACTCCATAATTGCCTTTGCTCTGTATGGACCTTACTGGAGTCAAGTACACAGGTTCGTCAACGTTGAGCTCCTCTCGAACTACCGGCTCGACATGCTCAAACATTGATTCCCTGGTAAAATCATCTCTGCAACAATTATATCAGCTATGCGGCAAGAAGAGAACAAACTCTGATAAAGTATTGGTGGACATGAAGAGATGGTTCAAAGATGTTAGTCTTAACTTGATTCAGAGGATTATTGTAGGGAAGCGAATCCCGAATACCAGCGAAGGCGGTGAAACCGTGAAATGGAAGAAGTCTTTGGACGACTTCATTCAACTAAGTGGGAAGATTGTGGTGTCAGATGCCCTGCCGTTTTTTAGATGGTCGGACATAGGAGGAGACAAGAAGGTAATGAAGAAGATAGCGAAAGAACTGGATCAAGTTGTTGAGGGATGGCTACAAGAGCACAAGCACAAGAGTGCTGCAAATGAGGCCAACAAGAGCGAGGAAGATTCATGTGAATAATGCTGTCTCTCCCCCATGATACAGAGGGGAAGGATCCTGATACAATCAACAAAGTCACGTGTCTGGTATATGCATTCGTTAACCAAATCATTGTTGAAAAAATCTCATTTAATTAACTTCAGTAAAACCCCAAAACCTTCCTAATGCCACTCTTTCATGCATACTGCCATTAATTCAGATGAAACTATTGTCTTTAATGGCAGAAGGGAAGTTAGAAACTATTGTGTTCATTATTACTGATGTTTCTGTACTATCTGATCCAACGGACTCTTATCTTAGCGGCAGAAGATACAATATCAATTGCAATGACGTGGGCTTTATCTTCAGTACTCAAAAACGGTGACACATTGAAGAAGGTCCAACAAGAACTAGACACAAGAGTCGGTAAGGATAGACTGCTAGTGACAGAATCAGACACCAAAAACTTAGTGTACCTTCAATCCGTCATTAAGGAAACGTTCCACCTATACCCTTCTCTTCCCTCACCGTGATCCATGAGGCCATCGAAGACTGCACAGTAACTGGTTACCATGATTCTGCTGGCACCTGGCTTCACAAGATTAATCATGATCCGACTGTGAGGTCAAACCCTTGTGAGTTTCGACCAGAAAGATTCTTGACCACCCACAAAGATGTCGATGTATGCGGACACAATTTTGAAATGATACCGTTTGGCAGCGGTAGAAGAATGTGCTCCGGAGTTCCATTTGCGCTTCAGATTTTGCAGCTTACACTCGCTAATGTGCTGCATTGGTTCGACTTTGCGACCCCGTTTGGTGAACCAGTTGATATGCGTGTGCGAGCAGGATTTGCTAGTCCTAAAGCAACTCCACTTGAAGTTCATATAACCCCACGCCTTCCTGTTTCTCTTTACGAGTCCACGAATTGATCGCTATAATTAATTTGATTTATGAAAGTGCTGAATAATATTCTAAACTTTTAAGATATTTCATAATAATTTACGTGCTAGTATCAAGCCCAAGTCTAAGTATCAAACCAACTCCAAGTTGTTATTTATTCTTCTTGTTAAATCTGTTTTGTTCTTTTAAGCTGGAAAAACTCTTGTGGTCAACTCCTTATTAATATTTTATTAAGATATGATAATGAGGTATATTTGGGGACATAAACTTTACCTTAATAATACATAAGATATTTCACAAAAGAATCCTAAAGGAAGTATTAACTCCTTTTACATAAAATCTATAAAATCATGAACTAATAAATTCAACTTGATTACAAGAGATAGAATAAATAAGGAGTATTACTCTTTTATAATTATTTGAATCTAATAAAAGATAAATTAATTCTATCTAATTTTAATATATCTCATAGTTCATTTGAAGCTTGATTAAACACTTGGACACCTTAATGAAGATATCCATGATTTGACAAAAAAATCTACAACTTAATTATCTTATCTATGAATGTGAGAAATTTTATAAGAAAAAGTTTGCAAATATTTTCTTATAGAAGCAAGAATATGACGAATATCCGGACAACCTTGACTTTCTTCCTTTTATCATATGCACAACTTCCATAGCGTCAAGTTCAATACAAACATTGGAGAAGTTGACCCGTTTCTTCATGCTTGGTGTGTAAACAAATTTCCATTTCATATGTGAGAAATTTTATAAGAAAAAGTTTGCAATGGGAACTTTGACTTTCTTTCTCTGATCATATGTACAACTAGCATAGGGTCCATTTCAACACAAACATTGACCCGTCTCTTCATGTTTGGTGTGTAATTAAATTTCCATTTCATACTTTAAAGTTCAATTTTTATTTTGCCATTATGATACAAAGGACACTAGAACATATTAAATTAAGATATTTTTCAATCTCAATAGAGTTCATTGGCTTAAGTTTTTAATCTAAGTGAAATTTCGCATGTGAAGACATGATTGTTGTAATCTATCTTTGATTCTAAGATTTTACTTCTCTCCCCGGCATTAATTATATATATATATATATTTATTTATTTATTTAAAAAATAGATTTGTAATTAATTAAATCGAAATTAATTCATCCTCAGTTCCCCGTGAATCTGCCTAAGATTGTATGGCCACAATTGCACTGTTAGAAAAAGACAAATTAATGTTAGCATTCTTTTGCTTCTAACCCAATTTTTCTATTTAATTTATTTATTTTATATTTGTAGTCTTTGTAAGATTGATAGAGCCAACCCAATTAAAATACTTGGTATTCCCATCAATATCAACATCACATTGGTTGTAAATATACCGAAAAAAGGATCAACACAACCTTACTATTGTCCGGACTCCTCTGGCCAGGGATTTTATCCTATGTTTTTTTTCGTGGAGACCCAAAGGCTGAAGCAGGGTGAAAAGGACTGTGGGGACAAAACAAGATGAGAACATTTTTCGTTTTAATTTTTTTTTTTTAAGATTTCTTGGTGGCCACTCCCTCCCTTGCATCAACTAGCTAGCCCTATCTAGCTGCTGACATCAACCTTTCACTTGTTATCATATATAAAAATAGTGTATGACATATAGCGCCCGTCGAAATGACAATTACTTCAATGTCCAATCATTACGTTAAAGATTTTCTATCTAATTCCCATCGCTTTCATTAGGACAGCCGGCTCGGCCATCCGTCAAACCAGAGGTTTTTATTTGTACTGTGTTCATTCACACTATGCAATATTTTATGAGGTGCTTTTTCAAGTTTGCCAGCTCCTTGTAGGATAAGAACGGCGAAGTTCCAATTTTCCCAGCCTGACTCTACTGTTATATATGGACCTAATTCATTATCATATTATATCTCTCAAGTCTCACAACCTTCATCTCGCCATAGTCTATCAAAATGGATCTTTTCCATCAATTCCCACCAATTCCAGTCGTGATTGCAATACTATTTGCCTTTCCACTCTTTCTTTTCTCACTTCTATGGGTATCAAAGAGTGTAAAAAACGGAAACAAAAAGGTAGCAGCACCTGAAGCTGGGAGCTCATGGCCGGTAATCGGCCATCTCCACCTCCTAGGAGGGCCGCAACCAGCCCACATAGTTCTCGGAGACATGGCGGAGAAATACGGTCCTATCTTCACCATCAAGATGGGTGTTTACAGAGCTTTGGTTGTCAACAATTGGGAAACTGCCAAAGAGTGTTTAACCACAAACGACAAAGCCTTTGCCTCTCGTCCGAAGACTCTTGCTATGGAGTTCCTGAGCTATGACCACGCCATGTTTGGCTTTGCCCCATATGGACCGTACTGGCGCCAAATGCGTAAAGTTGCCACTCTTGAGCTCCTCTCGAACTATCGGCTCGATAAGCTCAAACATGTCCGACAATCTGAGATAAAGACATCCCTGAAAGAGTTGTACCAAAACTGGAGCAAGAACAAAGACAGCTCTGATAAGGTTTTGGTGGAGATGAAGACATGGTTTAGGGATGTAACTCTCAACGTGATTCTGAGGATGATTGTTGGGAAGCGAATTCTGAGTTCCGGCAGTGATGCAGAGGGCGAGAGATGGAAAGACGCATTGCAGGACTTCTTTAACTTGAGTGGAAAGTTTGTGATATCTGATGCGTTGCCGTTCTTAAGATGCTTGGACATCGGGGGAGACGAGAGGATCATGAAGAAGGTAAGAAAAGAACTAGATGAAGTTGTAGAGGGCTGGTTACAAGATCACAAGCGAAAGAAAGCGTCAGGTAATCAGGAGAGCAACCAAGATTTTATGGATGTGATGTTTTCAATCCTCAGTGACGTTGGCAAGCATGATGCTGATACCATCAACAAAGCCACCTGCCTGGTACGAATTTGTCACCCAAACTTTTATTTGCCTAACCTTGTTAGTACCTACTAATTGATTTGAGTTGTAGGCCATCGTAAGTGCAGAAATGAAAATAAAATAAATGTCAAGGCTATTAAAGTTTTTGTTTAAAATTCTTAGTTCTTTATGCAAAATCGTACGTGCAATTTCATTTTGATGTGGTATAAATCAACCTTCTTGCAGGCTTTGATCTTAGCAGCCTCTGATACAACAATGGTTACACTGACATGGGCTTTGTCTTTATTACTTAACAATCGTGGTGCACTTAAAAAAGCACAAGAAGAATTAGACATCCATGTTGGTAGAGACAAACTAGTTGAGGAATCAGACATTAAAAAGTTAGTCTACCTTGAAGCAATCCTCAAGGAAACGCTGCGTTTATACC